CTCCTGTAGTCGAACTACGACGCTCTGATTTCTCATTCTCGTCCGAATGAGCATACGTAGGCACGAGGCCCCCAATCCTTGGCGAGCACCCTATCCTCTAACCACCCATCTCTCCTTAGCGTCTTTAATCTTTTAACCTACCAATTCTACCTTTATCAACGAGAAAAAAACAAGTAAACCTCAACAACACTCCCTACAATTACCTTAAGAGGTTCCCGTCGAGTACGACGGACGTGAGGGGTGCTAATACCTTCCCCTCACGTAACCGACTCCCGAACCCGGAACTTGGTTGCGACAGCCCTATTCCTGTCCTTTCGTTTTAAGAGGTTTTCTCGATATTTTCCTCTCCCGTTTATTTGGGAAAAATAAAGTTCGGTGGCGACTCTGTCGAACCGCATTTCCGCGCCTTTCGCGCGAGGGTCGTCTCTCCGAAATGTCTCCGTGATTTTTCGAGGTGCGACACACACAAGACTCTTATGACCTGATATTTTAGAGACAAAAAGGTAGGACAAAAATTTGAGGTATGACATCGCCTTGTTGTCAAGCAATACATATGGAAGAAGAAAATGGTTGAAGATTTAGCTCTACCCAAAGTCATGACTCGTGTTGAGCATCAAAACATATACTATTTTCTTCCTTTGGCTCAAGATTACAATGCGGATCTCATTTGCGTGTTCTATTCCGGGCTACATGAACAAGAAGGGGAAAGCTTCAAATTTTCTATAGATAACAAAATGTATCATTTCACAAATGAATTATGGAGCACTCTATTCGGTATTACTGTCACTGGTCCTAAAATTGATGAAGAGTTTGTTGAAGAAGAAACTGATGAAATGGTAACTAACTCTGATAAGCATAAAGACTTCAGTTGGAGTGTTCACTTAAATGAAATGCTTAAGGTTCTTCGAGCTGCAAACTATTACGAACCAATTACCATAAGTCAATTAAAGATACCACCTCAAATATTATTGTGGATTGTGTCTCATGTCTTGCGTCCAAAAAATGGCCGATTTTCAAGAGTCGACTTTGCAGAAATTCATCTTGTGTATATCTTACTGCACTATGTGTAAATCAGCTGGCCACACTACTTTGTTGATCGTATGTTTTCCATTTGTTCCTACAACAAAGGTATCTCTATATGCTATCCTTACATAATTGCAAGAATTTTGAAGCATTTCAAGATTGGTGTGGAAAATCTCGTTTGTAAATCACCAAATTCATCTCATGGGTTCTCACAATGTACTCTCACCAATATGAGCTATTTTTGGGATATCGAGCGGAGAGCATACTATCTCCGTAAGAATGGTAGGAAGACTTTCAACTTTAATAATCCAGACGTGGTTGTTGATGAAGTTGAAGAAAATCAGATGGAAAATGAGAATCCTCATGGTGCTCTAGACGATGATGTTATGATGCAAGATACGGACCAAGGAGTTAGTCACGATGGTAACTTTTCTGCCAGACCTAGTGACACGACTACTATTATTATAATTCTGTATAACATGCATGTACATCAAGATGAGATATATGATGCACAATCGAAGAGTTACGTCAAATGAGGGACCTACTTTTGTGCACACATGGGCAGCTGGGAAAATCCCAAAATTAATGGACTTAGAAGTTGAATTGATGTTTGACCCTTGAAACAAAATTGTAGAGGAGCCCGAATGGGACATTTGGCTCAAAGTAGATTCCAAAAATGTTGAGAAATGAGAAAGTTATGGTGTTTGGACCAAGTGACATGCCATACTTGATTTAGGCCAACCACACATGTACCAACTTAAAATTTCTTGCTATTTTCTTACATCCAAAGGCCCAATGATGAACACTTGAATACCAAAGCTTGATTATCCTTTGAATAATCTTTGATGATTGCTTGAGAATTAGATGAAGGTGGCATGGAAATAAACACACGAACCATACTTGAATCAATCTAGAATCATGCATCAAACTTGAACTTTTCTTGATCAAATGATGATGAATGAAGCTTGGCATGGATGTGACCTAAGATTACAGGCCATGCCTTGAAGTAAAAGTTCTTGTGGACCACTTGTTGACTAAACCTTAACTTTGGGAACCAAAACCCTAATTTAGAAACCAAACTTGATCCTTTGATTGTAAGTCCTTACCTTGTACAATAAAAAAGGAAACAACACACATTTTTGTGTCTTGAATAAGGTTAGCGAAGTTAGAATGTAAACAAGCAATAAAGGCAAAAAGAAACACAAAGGTTCTTGGTGATGTCCCACAAAGACAAACCCAAAGATATGAAGGTTATGAGGATACCATGCTTGTGATCTTGGTGAGATGCAAATGATATGATAGGGTGAATCTTAGAGGTAAAAATTAGGGTATGACATTTAGTAGTCAGGTCACTTATGTGTGTAAATAGTTAATTACTCCCCTTGTAATTCAGTTTTGTAACACAATCATTTAATAATATAATTTTTATTAAGGGTGTCAAAACGGGCAGTGGCCCGCGTACTCGCCAAAAAATGACGGGTTTGGTTGAGATTTTGGGCTCGCCGCCCACCAAAGTCCGCCCCGCTAAAGCCCGCCACCCGCCAACTCGTCGCCCACGAAAGCCCACCGCACCTATTCGTTCAGCTTGTCCCGCCTTAAATCCCCCATTTGTTAGTTAATTCTAGTAATTCCAATTTTTTTATGGTTTTATTTTATACATTTATTCGAGAATATATGCAATATTTTTTGAAGTAAAATTTGTTAAAAGATGCTTTATAAAAAATATTCTAAAAAATAAGTGAAAAATCTAATTGAAAGGTAAAAACAAGCCTATTAATCTATTAAAAAAATTAAGAAAAAAAAAGTAGGCGAGCTGGCGGGACGAGCTAGATTTTTATGCTCATTTCCACTTGGCGGACTTGCCCGTCCCGCCATTTTTTTTACGGGGTGGGGCGGGCGGCCCGTTTTGCCACCCATAATTTTTATTTTCATATTTTCTCTTTTTCTATTTATTAAAAAATGTCTCGCGCACTAATAATATTTACACATAAAAAGTCAAATCAAACATATTTATAAATAGATATTAATCAAAAAAATATTTAATACAATTAAAAATTTAATTGATATATACGGACAGTTTAAAAGTTTTTTTTAAAAATATTTAATTTTTATTTTAATTATATTAAAAGTAATACAAACGGATAATAATTATGTATTGTGAGTGTAAAACTTTTTATTAGTACGTAACAATTAATCTAAATTAATTGATTGAGTTTTAATAATTAAATATAAAAGAGACAATTAAATAAATCTCTCTTTGTTTTACATAAAATCTAAATCAATTAGTTACACATAACTTCAACTTTTTAATTCTCATGAAAATAATTGTTTTTGTAGTAATGAGAGTCAGAGAGGGATGAAGTATTAGTTAGGCCAACCAAACGAGGATAGAGACAATAGAGCGAGCATGTGACCACTCTCTTACTTGGAAAGCACAATTAAAAAATCTGTTGAAATCATAGTTATGACAATGTTGTTTTTATCATCAAATAAAAATTTAGTACGTGTACACATTCTCGAAATTGCAGCATTAGAAAAGTGATTTCAACATCAAAGATAGAGAATATTGTGCAGTGCTGTTCCCTGCGAAGAAGCCACGTACCCCTTTCTTTCCAGCAAGTGCTGCACACCTTCTTCATTTTTATTGGTTACTCCCTTCAATCGTGGGACCAATCACAACCTCCCAATACAGATACGCCATTTTCTATGTGGGTCCCATGCTAACAGAATTGTTTATTTTTTGACCAATAACATTACCAGATTTACTTTTTCAGGATGCACTCTAGCATTATATCTAACACGTGTCCTTTCTAATCTTGTCAATCACTCTCAACCTCTATTTTTGAACTACAAAACACTCAATCATATTTATTTTATGTATATTTCATGAGAAAATTTCAATCATATACTACTTTTTAAATTCCTTAAGGTATGTGTAAAATGCATGTTAGAGTAATACTTTTTACTATATAATAGAATTAAGTTTTGTATATTATAATAAAAATGTTTATATTTATAAAAAATAATTAAATAATATATAAGTTGTATATAATAAAAAAGTTACAATATAAATATATGACTAATTTTCACTTACCAAAATAAAAGTTATTTTTAGAACAAACTAGTATACAAATTATTTTAAAATAAATTTAATTTATTTACAATTTTAATTTTTCTATTTTATCCTATTTATAAAATTAATTTCTTTATTTTAGATTTACAAAATTTTAAGTCTCCTCTATCATTTTTGCATTTTAAATTTACTGATATATTTATTTTTAAATAATATATCTTTTGTGAAATATATCCTATTATCATATAAAAATATTTCTAAAACTTCAGAAAAAAATTACACGTTATTTAAAATGCAAATGTAATCAATTTGCAATACTAAAATTTGAGAAGAAGATCAAAATAATTTAAATTAAAATAATAAGAATAATTCTATTAATAAATATAAGGTAAACTTTTTTTAGTATGCACAAACTTTAATTGAATATTAATATATTTATTGTAAATAAATTTAAATTAAGTTTATTTTGAAAATAATAATATTAAGATATTAAATATTATTATATTTTTATTGATGCAGATATTAATACTCAATTAAATTTGAAATATTTGAATATTTGTGTAAATAAAGATAGATTAATTAAAATTGTAATTTTAAAATAATAAACTATTTCTTAAATAAAACCAAAAAATAACAAAGAAGAAAAAAAAAGAATGCGAAGAGGAAACATGGAGTTAAAAAATAAATAAAAAAACTAAAAGTATAGGTACTGTTCATGAGTGTTGCCCTAGACACGTGGTGTTTGATGAGCCAGCCACCGTACTGCCGTTATCATTATCGTTTCCATCTCCATCCCAAGCAACGAGTAACGAGTCAGTAAACCCAACCAAACAAACTAGAGAGAGAAAGAGAAACAAAAAAGAGAGTTTCGTTTCGCTATCGCTTCTCTTCCAACAACAACGTGATGGAATCTGAACACGTGTGGCGCGTGGGAGCGTGCAGCACAAATAGTTCCCTCCACAACCAGAACAATATCTTCAACGGAATAATGCTCCGTTTCCGACCGATCGCACCGAAGCCAGTTACCGGGACCTCATCAACCTCCGGAGAACTAACTCCGGCGAAACAGTCCATCACTACACCACTTCCAGGTAAAAGAACAAAGAGAAAGTACGTTAGGATTCGGAGAAACAACGGATATATAAAAAAGAATGGTAATAAACCACCGGAAAAAGTTGTTGAAACAGCAGAAAACATGGATAGCGTTGCCGCAGTTGTTACTCTACAGTTGATGCCAGAAAAAGCGGAAGAAGACACACCTATCTCCGGTGATTCGTGGTGTAAAAACGTTGATCTTAACTTAAGAGTTGAGAAGATTCAGATCTTAGAGAATCTGAATTCAAATCCGAACTCCAAACCGGATCTCGAAACGCAAAACGCCGGTGGAATTCTAGATCTGATATCAACGTCGGAGAAAGCGGTGGTTGAGTCATGGATAACGGTGGAGAGCGTGACAGGCACGTGCATGAGTGAAGAAAGTGAGCGAGTGTTAAATTGTGCGGACGTTGAGAAAATGAAGATTCTAGAAACGGACACGTGTCCGTGTTTTGTAACGGACAGTTACGGAAGGGTTTTGTGGGTGAACGACGCTTACAAGAGGATGGTGGTGAACGACGAGATTAAAGAGATTGACGTTGTCGTTTGGTTGAAGGTGAAGGAAAGTGTTGCATGGTGTTATTCTTACCCAGCGTTCACCTGTGGTGTTAGGTTACAGTACACGTGGCGGAACGAGAAGTGTTTAAAAATGGTTCCTTGTGATGTTTGGAGATTACAGTGTGGTGGTTTTGCATGGAGATTAGACGTGAAAGCTGCTCTAAGTTTGGGGCTGTGAGAAATCATAAATCACAGACTTATAATAATAAAATAAAAATACTGCTATATATGCTATATATATCTATATATATAGATATAATACCTAGCTGGTTTTCATGGATTGAAGAAAGGAGCAAGGTCATCCACACTCTCTCTCTCAACACTCACCATTAGGTATTGAAAAACTTTATTAGAATTTCTAGTAAGAATGCGCCTATGAGTGTGTTTCATTAACAACTAAAGGGCTTGAATCTATTCTACATGGTAAGTGCAGAGAACTAAATTCAATGTTGAATCAGCAAAGAAGATTCAATTATTGCATTTAGATTCTCTGCAACGATAATAGATGTATTTTTATAATACATCTAGTGTTATTGTAGAGAATCTAAATACACTCTTCACTTTCGTCATTTTGAGAGACACCAGGGGTAAAATAGCAATTAAATGAATTAGAAGTTAGATTAACATGCAAAGTAATGAAGCTTAAAAGTACTTCTATTTCTATTGCTATATGCCATATGTCTATGTAACCATTGGCTTAGTTTAAAGTGTGTAACTGTTATTGTCTGCTGTGTAACTGTTATTGTCGCTCTAGGACTTTGCGACTAATAAAATAGTTAATTGTATGATATTGTCAAGGAATCACTAAGCTTAATATCAATGTGTGATAATTGTATATATACATACATAGCTAGAGATAATAAGCAGTGAATTAGATAGAGTTGAGAGTATCTAGTCATTAATGTTCGTGCCTTACTTTGTTTATGTTGCTATTTATTTTAAAATAGGGGCATATTCATTAGTTAGGTAAAGAAGGTATCTACATAGTTTTAGTCATTTTTAGAGTATTAGACTTTTACACCTACAAGTTACAACTAACTACTTTTAACTTTCAAGATAAATTGAGTTTAAAAATAAATTAATTAACATGTTTAATATGTTTGTTTATTTATTTTTTAATTATTTTTATTTATAATTATTGAAAGATGCCTTTAAAATATTTGTTAATTCGACCTTTTATTTAAATATATATTGTAAATGTTATTTTATCAACAAAGTCACGGAGGCTATTTCAAAGAAAAGTGTTTAAAACAAGCAATTCTGCAAATGCTGTTCTTACACGGCAACAAAACGTGGTTATTTAATCATTATACATATTTTTCTCCTCCATTTACGCATCAACAACTCTTGTCGTACTTACTTGCCTTCTATTTGTTCTATTGTTGTATTATGATTAAATGTCAACTTCAACTCAATTTACTTTAATCGTATTACAATATTTTGTTCAAATTAACATAAAAATGTCATTTTAAAAACTGTGCTACTCCTTTAGTAATATAAAGCTCTTATCAGGTTTAAATAATATTCTTAGGAAGATTCTAACATATTGGGTGCATGTTATTTATTTTATAAATCGGTTTTGTAATGATAAATTATGACTCTAATATGATATTATAGTCTATTGATCAGCTATGTCTCGTTCACCGTCAATATTCACGCACTAAATTCAAAAGTGAAGATTGTGAGAGAGTGTATTAGAAATATCTTAAGTCTCCATAATCTTATCTTCATCATAATTGAACATATTTTTGAAATAATTAAATGATTTAAAAGATCTTATCTTTCAAATATCTATGATTTCATAACAATTATCCTCATTAATAGAGATTTTAGAAGCACTATCACTTTCCGATAAAACATTCATAACTTCTTTAATCTTATTTAAGAATTTTTTATGGCTGAAATTAATAGATAAAGAGAGAAGTAATTTTGAGTGATCTAACAAGAAAGATATATCTTTTAGAAAACGAAGTTTAGAGATTCTTTTTGAGTAAACTGGTTGAAAAATTCTAAGAGTAATAATGGAATATATCGAATGTCTAGCATTGGATTGGATGAAGAACTAATACCGCTAAATTTCTATTCTTTCTAGTCCTAATTTGTCCATCAATATCTTAGATTTCATCTCTAATAGTTCTAAACTTCTTTTTCTTATGATTTAACTACATCTTAGTGAAGGTGAGAAAAACACTTAGAAGGGGAGGGGGGGGGGGGGGGGGGAGGGTTGAATAAGGGTTTTGAAATATATATGGCAATAAAAACAACGCAAGATTTTTATCCTGGTTCGTTGAACTCAACTAATCCAGTCCACCCTATCAAGGTGATTTGCCTTTCTCCACAAGGACTTAATCCACTATATTCAAACAGATTACAGTGTCAACCACTAAGAACAACTGTCTTAGTCTTCTCAAGAAATTCTGACCACAACTTGGTCTTCTTAAGGAACCTTTTACAAATTAATGTAAACTAAACAAGTGTTTAAGTTGCTTCTAAAAAGCTTTATCACAATCTGTGATTTTTACACTTAGATTAAGAACGAATAAAAACTATTCAGCTTATGAATAAAAATTGTATGAGAGCTTAAAAGTAGTTTGCAGTTTGATTTCTCAATTGATTCGTCAATAATTCGTTGACCTTGAAATGTTATTGAAGACGTCCTTTTATAGGCAGAAAGTCCAATGCTTGAAGACCGTGCACTGCTGAGTAGCTGTAGCCTTTTGTCTTCTATTGACTCTACCTTTCCCAGAAGAGGAATGTTCAGACAAATCCCTTTTGTCTGATTTCCTGTGCCATACATGAATAAGGAAAGAGTCGTTTGGAATATGCCAACGGATATATCTTTGAATAATATTTTCTTCAACAATGCTTCTGTCTCAAAGTTATCAACATCAGAGTCTTGATGTTATCAGAGTTTTGCAGCCAGTGCTTCCAGCGTGAATATCACTCAGAGCAGAGTTTGAATAACAAAGCTTCTGTACTTGCAGCGTAAAGTATTTCAGAGTCTTCTTGAAACAATGCTTGAAACTCTTCATACAAATTCTTCAGCTACGCTTCAGAGTCTTCTGCAGCTTCTGCTTCAGAGTCTTCTGGCAGCGCTCAGAGTCTTCTGATCACTTGCTTCTGATGCTTCAGAGCTTTGCGTAGAATACTGTTCAGATGCATTTTTGCTTCCATAAGAATATTTAATTTATTATCTGAAACAAAAACACTTGAACAAAATTAGAGTATAAATTTTCTTAATACATTTCATTAGAGTTATCATCAAAACATAAAGATATAATTAAACAACAATCTATGTTCTAACAATCTCCCCCTTTTTGATGATGACAAAAACATAGGAAATTTTGTTCAATAAAAAGGATAAATATATAACTCCCCCTGAGATAAAGAATCTCTCCCTGAAATGAATACTCTAATAGAAGAAAATACTTCCCTTTTTGCATGAGTATACTTTTCAGATTAAGAGCCTGGTTAAAAACCTCTGGTTAGAATCCTGGTTAGAATATACTTTCCAGAATCAGAGCCTGGTAATAGCTTGATTTACTTTCCAGAATCAGAGCCTGGTTTACTCTTACTGATTTTCTTTCCAGAATCAGAGCCTGGTTATCTTTCAGGATTAGAGCCTGGTTTGAATTATCAGAGCCTGGTTATCAGAACCTGGTTTGAATAAAAGTCTGGTTTGGGGATTCTCAGGATAACTTCAATGAATTTTGTCAGATGATACGTTATAGTTCTGAAAGACTAAAATTCAATGTTAGTTATAATTCATTATGTCTGAATTCCATTTTAGTAACTGTTTATATTTAAACAATCAGAATTTCTTTTTCTCCCCCTTTTTGTCATAATCAAAAAGAAAAACTTTTTAAGACAAAAAAGATTAACAGAGAAAAACAATATAAGAGCAGATAGGGAAACAGTCAACTTCATTTGATAAATAGAATTCAGAAAACATTCAGATAAATACAAGATAACAAAACACAGCAAACATGTGCACAAGCATACCAGAAAAAGAAACTAAGATTGGCGAGAGGCTATCAGCTTCAGAAGATCTGTAATCTGAGAATTAGATTCCTCTTGTTTAGACATCTAAGTCTTAATATCATATGTTGTTTGTTCTTGCTTGACCATCCATGTTCTGATCTCTTTGTTGCTGGCTTCTAGCAGAGCAAACTTTTCTTCTAGATCTGGTCTTTCAGTCTTGATTTCAGAAGAAGTAGGCGCAAATGCAGTAGCTGGAGCACTATCAGTGACCATTGCAGATGTAGATGCAGGTTCTTGAATCTCAGAAGTAGAAGCTTGTTCCACAATCATCAGAGCTGACTGATTAAACACAACAGTTTCTTCAGCAACAACCGCTTCTGGAGGAGTATCTTCAGATATAGGGTCATCAGCAGGTGCATTTTCTAGAGGAAGAACTTGAGGTCTACTCATGTTCAGAAAAGTCTGTCTGATAACTTCAGCAAATTTCACCTTTGCATCATCAGAGCAAATGGTGCGAAGATTTGGAGCAACAGTGTTGAACCTTGAGATGAATCTGTTCCAAGTAGCTTCAGAAGCATCTGGGTTCACACTAGACAAACAGTCTTTCTTCACAAAAGAGATCCACACATTCATTTCCTTCTTGAAACCATCAAAGAGCGTACTAACATCCATTCTAGGTTTAGGTTTTAGGAAGTTTTCTAGAGATGGTGTTTTTGGTTGTTCTGGTGGGGATGGTATTGTGAAGGTTGGGATAATGAACAGAGGACGAGGATATGGTGTAGAAGATGTTTGGCCAGATGATTCAGCAGAATCTTGACGTTTTGGATAGAAGTGTTTGAGTTTGAGTCCAGATGGAAAGTCATCAGATGAAAAGGATTTCAAAGAAGCAAAAGAAACAAAATCAGATGATCTTGGTTCATAGCCACGTAGAGAGGCTAGTGAGTTTACTTCTGGGGGAACATCAGATTCAGAAGAATCAGATGATGCAGAAGAATGACAGGATGTGGAAGAAACGTCAAACAACATCTTCAAAGGTTGAACGTCAAGAACCTCAGAATCAGATATGAATGATTCAGAAGGTTGATGTTGTTCAGGGTGAGGAACATATGGGATGGGTTGTTCTGGTTGTGGTTCAGGTTGTTGTGGAGTAGGTTCTTCTGGTAGTGGTTTAGAAGTTTGTGGTTCTGGCGAGGGAAT